TGACATTTCCACTGTTAAAGAATATTAATTTGGATCTATTTTTGACAAATGATTTCATCCAGATATATCTATGTTCTACTTTGATTTTCTCTTGTGAACTGTAGTATACCTGGGAATTGAAATACCAACCAATATTTGTGGGCGGCATCATTATCAGAAAAGGTATTTTGGGTTATGTAGTCCATAATGCTGCAACTTAATAATGCTCCATTATTATACTGTAGTGACATAACTGTGAATTGACAAATAAGTTCACTATCCCTCCCCTCTATCTCTAGATATTATAAACATATAGTCACCTTTCTACTTCCCATTTAAAAGTTGGAAAGGCTGAGACAAAATATTGGGAGGTAAGGAAACTGAGGACCAAAGATATCATGCAACACTCTATTGTCCAACATTGTCACAGTGACTGACACCCTTGTAGCTTACAAGAGTTTATGATTTACCAGTATGTAATAATTTTAAATAATTCTACTGAATCATATCAAGTATACTGTAGTATGATTGTAAAGTTAATTTATTACTGATGCCTATACTACTCTGGTTTTAATATTAAAGAGTGAATCTACTAGGTAAATGCATAAAAAATAGTGATACTTAATAAATACTGGTTGATCTATTATTCTGTGAGTAAAAGTTTTTTGTGATTAAAGAGGTACTGAGGTTCTATATTCAGAATTATGGGTATAGTATGATAAAAAAAAAAACCCTTAAATAAATTTGATTTACTGAATTATCAATACTCATTTAGTTTATAAGACCCACATAGATACAATATTTCTGATAACTACTATTTTTGGACCAATTTAAGCTTACATAAGTATTATTTATCTTTATATTAAAATTTTTCAGAGAACAGTATATATCTTTTGTATATTTCAGCTTAACTCAGTAACCATACTTTCTCACTTGAATTTAAAAACACTGAATCTTAGATCTGGAAAACTGTCACACTATCCAAACCTTGATAGAGGTTGTAACCAATGTAGTAATACATTATTATCACTTATATTAGAAAATCAATTACTAGAATATATTAAGATATAATATAACATCAAAATGCAACATCAAAATAGTAAAACACTACTAAGTCCAAGTAAAATGCTGCTCCTATCATGTCATCAAATTAATGCCACCAGCATTTCAAATTTTATGAATTTTACTTGTTTATTATAATATCATAATGAATTATCAATATAAAGAAAAAACTGGTTAATGATAACCCCAAAATTAGAGAAACAAAAATTACACAAATTGAAAAATTCAAGCATAAGTAGTTATTTCAGCTTGGAAGCTATGTACCCAAGTTATGCATCTCATAGAACTTTACAGAGAATGAGGAGGCAGTGCTTATAGCTCACTTGGCCAGTGGCGTTTACATAAAACCCATTTTATACCTAAAGTGGTATACCAAATTTAAGATCAGAATCATATACTTAGTATTAGTAGGTATAAAATATTTGCGGAAATACATGTGATATAAATTATATAGTTTTAAAAATCTTTTAAATAATACAGCTTTAGGTTATATAAACTCCACTGGCCAAGTGAGCTGTAAACACTGCCTCCTCATTCTCTGTAAAATGCATAACTTGGGCGCACAGCTTCCAAGCTGAGATAACTATTTATACTTGTATTTTTTTAATTTGTATAATTTTTGTTTCTCTAATTTTGGGACAGTTATAAAATGGAAAAAAAATACAACTTCTGTATATTTAGTATTATAACTTAGTTATAATTATCTTTATAAAATATTTAATCACTATATAGAAAATATAAATAAATCAATATGGTACCTGTTACACAATAAAGGCATAATAAATGGTTGCCATGATTGAATAGAGGTTATGTGGTAAGACAAAGGATTAAGTAGTATACTGTGGATAATTAAATATGCTAGAGAGTTACCATGTACAGTTTATAAGAATTATCAGTTTTTGGAAAATTGGAAACTGCTTCTTTTAACTTCTTTTATTGAGCCAATATTCGACTTTCTCTTTTGCTTATCAAGAATGTATGCCATGATTTCAATGTCCTTACTAGATAGGATTTTGCTATAATTTTTTTTTTAGAGGGGTTAATGTATAGGGATTCATGAATATTAGGTACTGGTAAGAATTTACTATGATCAGATAAATGCTTTCACCTGAATCTGGACAATACCAATACACATTCCAAGAAGGAAGAAACATTCTGTTGCTAACTCCAACATTCAAAGAAAGTGCAGACTACAAGTTAAAGTTGCTCCACTTGTTAAAGGCCCTTAATGGCATTAGTAAAAAAAAAAAAAAAAAAAAAAAAAAAAAAAAAAAAAAAAAGTAATTTTTTTAATATATAAAAGAGCAATGATGTAATAAATTTAGAAAAAGTACCCTAAAAATACAGATAAGAGTGTTTGTCTGTTTCTTTGCACTCTTATTTCTGGCCATGTTGTCTTTTTAGATCTTGTGATTATCAGTAAATTCCAACATGTAACAAATTTACCTGTATGGACTAAAAAACATTTCTGTTTAACTTGCTAAGCTACCTTTCTGTTCTAAGAGTAAGATGCATATTCAATGCCTGGTATATTATTACTTCAGATTTTATAGACTAGTAAAGTGTACATTTTATTTTTTAAAATATCAGGGCAATTTCTTTAAAAAAACTTTTATTTGTTGTATGCATTAAAACATTGCCACTTGGTAGGTATTTTTCCCCCAATTAAAAAAGTCCTCTTGTTTCAACAGTGTCTAGAATATATCACCAGGAATTGCGATCTAATTGGGTATTCATTTTATAATGTACAATGCTATATTTAAGCATTTAATTTTACACCAATCACATGGTTTTATACAATTATAACATAACTATTTGTACTTTAATTAGGTTTAATTCTTTATATTTTTCTAACCACTAAATTGAATTTCATATATTTATGTACATAAACTTATGTAGAACAAGTTTATGTACATAAATCTATATGTACATTTATATATATACTTATTGATATATAAACTTACACACACAACCACTTATTAATTAGGTTATAAGCAAAAAATATGAAGGATTTGATTGACTGTATTAAATATTAATTTAAAAAAATCAACATAGTTTTGTTTTCATATATTGCTTCTAAACTACAGGGTCACCAATTCTAACGGTTCTTTTAGTTTTATTCATTAGCTTCAATGGTAAAATGTAGACACTATTAGAACCTAAAGTTATTTAGAGGTAAGGTCTCACTTGACATTATATAAGTACTTTATGTCTACCCTCTACCCCCCAAAATATTATTGTGTGTGTGTGTGTGTGTGAAAGAGAAAGAGGGAGAGAGAGAGAATGAATAAACATGACTCAACTACTGGGCTACTTTTTCTCTAGGCAAAATATTTTTATCATCAAGGAATCTTCTTGCTTAATTTTTATGGTGATAGGCATGATACCTCAGATCTGGTTGTCAGAATACTCATCTGAAGAGAAAGGTGTCACATGGGAAAAACACACACACATGTCTTTTATTAAAAATATAAATTCATCTAAAAGAAAATGATAAGGCATGCTCTCTTTGTGACATCAACAACTGCACATCTATATTTATAACTATATGTATTATGATAAATTTTTCCATATTCTGTCAGAACAACTAAAACAATGCTTGAACAATTAGTTTTTGATTCCCTTTCAATGGTATTTTTGGAGAAATAAAGCAAATTAGCTCAAGAATCAGCATTTCTGCACTCCAGTTCTTTTGGTTTTAAGTGGCTTTTGAAGGAGCATCCCTAGATGGGAAACTTCTAACACTCCTGCAGAGATGACCTGCTTGAAGAACGGGCTGCCTGATTAACTATTAACTGCTCTCAATAGGATTAGATAATTAAGGACATTGATGACCATTAATTAGGAGGAGGGCACATTAATTTGTCACTGGATAGGGCCCTTACAATGATTTATAGGTTAGTGCTACTTGCAAATGTGAGGGGAAAGAGAAAAAGAGAGAGAACCATTAAGTTACCTTATCAAGTGGCCAGCTAAAGAGGGCAGAGGGTCAAAAAAGGGCCAAAGTGGTCACTTCAGGGTGAAGTCCCAAACACCAAAGCAGTGCCAAGCCACATTGACCATCATTTGGTGATGAAGTTAAAAATATGCTAATTTATTGGTGGCAATTCTCTCTTTTTATGGTTTCAAGCAGTTAAGACAAGTGGCCTGCTTAAGAGCTTTTCATTTGAAAAGAGATTAAACAAAATGGTTTGTCAAGGCTGCTTGGCTGTTTTATGTCTTTGTTAAAAAAAATGGCACCGACTATACTGATAACTATCACATCACCCAAAAGCCATCTCTCTCTGAGCATTTATTTCGTTAATAAATACATCAACCCTAATTGCTTAATAGTGCTATGTTCATTTGCTCTTTAGCAAGATTAAGTTGAAATAAATCTTTTGTACTACCACTTTCTGTCACTATTACTTGCAGAGAGGTCACACAAAAAGTTTCAGTTTTGTTGAAAATTTACTTAAAGGTAATGGTGCAAATTAGAGTGAGTACTTTGTTTTATTCAACACGGAAAGCAGAAAGGTGACTCCACTACTAATAAAAACCAGCTTTTAGAAGATAGATCGGATTCTTTTTTTCTATCCAGGTATAATTGTGGGTAGACTCACATTCCACATACAAATAAGCACAGCTCATTAACATTTAATTAAATATGCCTTTGAAAGCCTTGAAAATATGCATGTCATATTCATGTAAATTTGGAGCTTACTTTAAATTGATATTTAAAACAAAATCATTTTTGCTATACTCTAGTAATATGTCATTAAAATAAAAAGATAAATAAAATAGTCTAAAATTATTTTATTTCACCAAAAGAATTTAAAAATATTTAGCATAGGAAAAAATATTTAGCATGAATCATTTAAGAATTTCATTAAAATAATATATATACCTTAATATATATATTGAAATAATATATATACCTTACCTCAAAACTGTAAACTGAAATATAAAAATTCTCTTACCTCAATGACGAATAGCTTTCTTTTCAATTTAAAAGCTAAGTCTTTGACATCTGACACATCAGACATCAAGTTATTAAGCTGAGGAATCTGACGTATGTGAATCAAACCTTGTGGAAAGGAAGAAAGGAAAAAAATTAAAATACAGTCATTGGATGCATAAATGAGAGTGTTAAAGCAGAATCCTGTAAATTTACACACAAGCATCCTTCTCTTTTAAAACAAGCTTACTACCAGGAGCAATGAAGCAAATGGTGTGATTATATTCAAGTAATCAAGCAGAATAAGATAAACAGAAATCCTTGTGTGAGGAAAACTAATTGCACTTTGGAAAAGAAGTACAGATGCAAAGAGGGATCTTACTACTTGTCAAAACTACAGCCGGTTTGTGTGTGATTTTCTCTTGTATTTACAGTAAGCAAATATGGCTATCACCTTGCATGCAACCCACAGCACCAATGGGTGATCTTTATTTTATTAAATGCATCACTAAGCAGCCAGTAAAACAAGGCTTATGGGTTACCCATAACCAGGTAAACACTCATGAAATGTATTCTATTTTGTACCTTAGTAATGACTGGAACAAACCATTGAAGAAAACAACATTTTAGAGCACAGTCTAGGATTAAACATTAACCCCTAAGCCATCCTAAGACACTCATTTCTGGGGCATGCTAGACCTTCCTGGAGCTGCTATGAGCTTTGTAACAGTGCTAGGTAAACAGTGAGCTTTGGCCTCTTGTCAGTAGAAACACTTGCTAATTTTTTCTGACAAGGGCACTGGATGGCTTCTATGCAGCTTAATACAGTTCCTGACTAAACTAGGGGTCATTTGCCACAGATGAAGTTATGGAAGATTCTTCAGTGTGTCTCTGCCTGAATCAGCCCATATTTTGAAATCACTATCCCAAAGACATTGATCTCTAAACATTGGGCAAGAAGGCAAGTCCAGATTTGAATGAAGTATATCAATCTTATTTATAGAACTGCTTCTCTAGTATAGAGTTTTGTGTGTGTCTGAATGCTTAGTAATGTATGTATTAGTTGTAGCTTAAAACGATAAATTTCTAGGTGCTTAACTTTAGAAATGTCCCTTTCAAATACAATTCACTAAAGTATGCAATTTATTTTTTGTTACTTTAAAAGATATTAAAAATGCAGATTAGATACAAATTAAAAGTACCTCATGCAGAGCTATTTAGTGAAATATATTAGAAATAGGCAACCATACTTTGATTTGCACATTTTTCATTTTAAACTTGCATGTGCTTGTTTAGCTAACTATTAAATCAGGAAGCCTTACAGAATGAAGGAATGATTCCTCAGGCCCTTTCTTATGAATAGAAACTTCACTGGTCATCAGGATTACCCATTATTGTGTGAGGAATCGTTGATCATTTTAGAAATTTCAGCACAAAAAGTCATAGTCTTTCAACCCCTGAAATATTTTAATCAAATTAGAATATAAAAAATAATTTTACTAAGCTTTACTCTTCAATTTGGATTGTTTTAAGAATAGAAATATAATAAGTTAAAGAAATAGTATGTCAATACAGTAAGTAATAACTGGGGATATGATGTACCACATGGTCACTATGGTTGACAATACTGTATTATATATTTGAAAGTTGCTAAGAAGAGATCTTATAAGTTCTCATCACAAGAAAAAAAATTGGATCTAAGTGTGGTGATGAATGTTAACTAAACTTATTGTGGTAATTATTTCTCAATATATACATATATAAAATCATTATGTTGTATATCTAAAGCTAATAAAATGTTACATACCAATTACAGCTCAATAAAAAAGAGTTTAATCTTTTTTTTAATATATTTTATTGATTTTGTACAGAGAGGAAGGGAGAGAGATAGAGAGTTAGAAACATCGATGAGCCGAAACCGGTTTGGCTCAGTGGTAGAGCATCGGTCTGCGGACTGAAAGGTCCCAGGTTCGATTCCGGTCAAGGGCATGTACATTGGTTGCAGGCACATCCCCAGTAAGGGGTGTGCAAGAGGCAGCTGGTAGATGTTTCTCTCTCATCGACGTTTCTAGCTCTCTATCTCTCTCCCTTCCTCTCTGTAAAAAATCAATAAATTATATTAAAAAAAAAAAAAAAAGAAACATCGATGAGAGAGAGTCATCGATTAGCTGCCTCTTGCACACCCCCTACTGGGGATATGCCCGCAACCAAGGTACATGCCCTTGACCGGAATCGAACCCAGGACCCTTCAGTCCCAAGCCGACGCTCTATCCATTGAGCCAAACTGGTCCCGGCAAGAGTTTAATCTTAATAGCTCTGGCTGCGCCATGCCTTAGCACTTGGGTGTGACTCCTTTCAAACAGTTACCATTGTCTGTGGTCTTAATGTCCTTTGGTGACAAGCTGCCAAGGAAGATTGGCCAGGAGTAGAAAACATTTAACAGACGTATTACAAAATAGAATCCACGCCATTGGACAGTAGGTATTACGAATGGACAAAATGCTTCCAGGTACCTTAGAAGGAACCAGGTCATGCTAGTCTCATCATGAGGCTGCTGCTTACCATGATAATCCTTATATAATGGGTTGGTTTCTCTGTTAGAACCAATAAAGGACTCCAGATGGATGACTGTATCTGACAAGTTTGTAATACGAGCAATAATTGCTTTATTCTGAAAAACAAGCAAACAAAACTCTCATGTTATGTTTAAAAATATGACCTGTATATAATACCATCAAGCCATCTCAATGACAACTTGTAGAGGAGACAGATTAATAACAAAAACTGGATGAAAATATGTCCTTAATTGAAAATTTAATGAATACATGTAAATATTCTATTTTAAATCAAAGAACTGAGGGGGAACATACTTTAGTTTGGGTAGAAAATATAAATTATTTTTCTCTTATCTTAAGGGGCAAGGATACCTTTATGCTCATATACTATTATAGGAAAATGTGATGGACACCAGGATTTGAGAACGTAGACAGTATAGTAAATGTATAAGTAAAGGCCCTACTGACATCTGTCAAATGGGACCAGGTACCAACCCTGAACCAGCTGAGGTCATCTCTCATATTAGAAACAGGGAAAGATCTAGCTAAAATGCTGCAGCATGGCTAGCTCTGGAGTTTTCTGTTTTCTCTTTCCAGATGCTGCTATTTGGCTCTGGGATAGCAATAAAGGCAAAGAAAAGATGGTAGGCAACTAGCACTAGACTACCCTGTTACCCCGAAAATAAGACAGTGTCTTATATTAATATTTTCTCCCAAAGTTGTGCTAGGTCTTATTTTCAGAGGATGTCTTATTTTCGGGGAAACACGGGTAGTAGCCTACCCTTCCTTTTCCAACTCACTTTGATATGAACCAAAAGTATTATTAAACAATATTTCCTTAAAAAGTCACATTTTAAAGTAGCAAAAGTTCTAAAATACCCAGAATTTCATGGCTTTATAATAATTAAATATCTTATACATTTTAATACTTTTATTTGATAGAAGCCCTCATTTCTTTTAATCTGACAGGCTGGTAGGTCAGAAAGCTGTGTATACACCATAACATCCTAGAAAAATATGTTATGAAGAGCTCAATAAGTTAAAAAAGAAGTATTATTCATAAAACTTTATCATTTGGAAACTTCTACTTTACACACTGGTATTACCCACCAGTTTAAAAGTAATCTTTATAAAAAGAAGAGCTGAAACCGGTTTGGCTCAGCGGTAGAGCATTGGTCCGGGGACTGAAAGGTCCCAGGTTTGATTCCGGTCAAGGGCATGTACATTGGTTGCAGGCACATCCCAGGTAGGGGGTGTGCAGGAGGCAGCTGGTCAATGTTTCTCTCTCATCGACATTTCTAGCTCTCTATCTCTCTCCCTTCTTCACTGTAAAAAGTCAATAAAATATATATATTTTTTTAAAAAAGGAAAAGAAATGTAAAACAGTCAAGAACATTTATTAGTCAGAGGCCATGTCCCCTATTGAGAAAAGTCCAAATATAGTCAAAAATGTTCACTTTCTAAAAATGTGATTGACTACTGAGTCTATTGGTATTCCTCTTCTTCTTTAGTCCTCTTATGAAAATGGTATAAGAAAGAAAAATAAAAGAGCGCTGGTTGATGTTACCAGACTCAGAATGAAGTACATAATAGCCCATGTCACTAAACATTATGTTGAAAGTAGAGGCCAAGTGCACAAATTTGTGCATGGGTGGGGTCCCTCTGGGTGGCCTGCAGGGATAGGGCCAAAACCTGCAGTCCAATGCTGCCCACAGCTCCTACCTTCCACTCTGGTTCATCCAAGCCCCAATGTGCCTGCTGAAGGCTAGTGCCCTAACAGTCCCCAATTGGGAGAGGCTTGCACCGCCACAGCAGTGCTCACCAGCCATGAGCCCTGCTTCTGGCGTCCTCCCCCAAAAAATGGCCTGCAGGATAAGGCTGAAACCAGCTCTCCAACATCCCCTAAGAGGTCCCAGGTTGCCAGAGGGTGCAGACCAGGCTAAGGGACCTCACTGGTTCATGATCTGGCTGGGGAGGGACCATGAGAGGACTCCAAGGCGTGTCTGGCCCATCTTACTCAGTCCTGATAGGCCGGACCACAGCATCAAGCTAACCTACCGGTTGGAGCATCTGCCCCCTGATGATCAGTGCATGTCATAGTGAGCAGTCCAGCAACCTTAGCATATCATTAGCATATTACACTTTGATTGGTTGTTTGGTTGTTCTGCTGTTTGGTCTATTTGCATATTACCCTTTTATTATATAGAATGACTGTCTAACTCACACCTAGGGTTGTACTGGAAACTCCCCCAGTACACATAGTAGAAATGTGTGCTATATAAAGGATATTTCAACCTTTGAATTAGTGGCCTTAAAAGGAAGAAGTAAAAATAGTTATTCTTCATTGCCTTTAATACTTCTATACAATCTTATGAGCACCAAGTACAGAAAAAACCAAAATTTGGAAATGCCCAGTTTTTCCTAAGACAATTTTTCACTCAATGGTGAAAAAATAATCAGATTGAGTCCTTACTTTCAGTTCTGTGTCACAGGGGACGGTCTTACTCCAGGAATTACAGAGACTTCAGAACATGCTCCTCTCAAATTTTCTTTAGCCAAAGGCCATTATATCAAACTCATCCAGGTTGGGTTCCAGCCAGTTATTCTTCACCCAAACAGAAATGTCTGCCAGACATTCCAACAGCTGGGATACAGTTCACAATGAGTCAACTTGAAAATGATTCATTGTGCTGAGTACTGAACAATGTTGGGGTGGGGGTGGGGTGTGGCTGGGTTGGTTGTGGAGGGTGAGAATGAGTGAGAGATGAAGAATAGCCATGTGGTTCTCCTGTTAAGAAGAATCTTATAATAGACAACAACCAGCAGGCTCTTATTATTTCATTTTTTAGGATAAACTCCACTGGGACAAGTGTTCCTCTCACGGACCCTCTGATGAACCAGCACTTAAAAAGGTGATTGACAAAATTTCTTAATAGAAAAGGTCAGATTTCCTTTTATTTATAAATAGAAGACTAAGCCTTTGTATCTAAATATCTGAATCTAAAATGATAAAAGCCATTTTTTGTTAGAACTCAAATATTTAGGATTTCATTGATATAAAATCTAGGGCTTTCTCAATTATATAAATAATAGAAATTATGAGACTTAAAGATGAGATTAGTCTTCCATTCTAGTAGTATCCTGTGTATTTACATGGTCAACCTGACATTTGTTTATTTCAAAGAGGGTTTTCTTCCTTAATTTAACCTTAAAATGTATTAGTAACCAATTTAACACTCTGTAATATTTATCAACTTTATAGCTGGTCTTTTTAAGGTAGTTTGTGGGACACACAAAAAAATTAATTTCCATTTTGCAAAGGAAAACTAAAGAATTCCAAATGTAAAAGATGTGTATAGCCTAGATTTCAAATCTCAAAATTTCATAATATATATTTCATTTGTTATATATTTTATGTTCCATAAACTTATATCATAGCCATTAACTTACAAACTAAATTCTATTTTTAAAGCTTTCATGAAATATTTGCACAAGAATAAGCTTTTAATCATACCATTAACAGAAAATAATTTATATTTAAGAATTACTTTACTTCTTTCTGCACAGTAGTTTATGTGATGTGGCAAACTAGATTAATTGTGAAATTTGTAAAGATATCTGAAAAATGTCTATAGAATCAAAAACACTGGAAATTACATAACATCAAAGAGCACAACTTTATTGTAATTAAAGATATATAATCTTCCAATTATCTGTAAAAGCATGAAATATATTTGGGTATGCAAATGCACATATTTTTTTTTTAAAGTTAAAATTCTGTTACAGATTACTTCTGTACCTCCATGATTTCATAAAGAGTATAGTCTACTAATGTAATCATACCTTAAAACGACTGTTGTTAAAAGTTCTTTCAAATTATAATATTAATACCAAATGGTCTTTTAGATAAAAGGTAGGTGAATTTACTTGAAAGAATTTAAAATTAATGATTGTAAAAAACGTCCTTTAAAATACTAATTACCATGCACTTTAGGAGGAATACTAGTACACTGTGGACAATAAATTGTCATAATATAACCCGCAATGCTCAGAAAACTTTAGCATAAGGATCTGAGCAGAGGACTCAACACTAGCACTTTCACATTCTCATCCTAATAGATTCTAAGAGTTTTTATGTGATTAGCCAACACACATCCCTTGGCCTACAGTATATGTAGATGAAAATGGAGAAACAAAGATATGTTCATCAATTACTCTGGCATACATTTGAATGTAACTTTTTAAAATGTTGAACATGTTACTTTACAATTCCCAATAAGGAGCATTTGAAGAAGAACATTTAGGATTCACCAGTCTGAGTAAATTAATGATTATACTGAATGCATGGCATAATGACATCACCCAGGCATGCACAATGACTCTGCCATTCCTCCTCCTTGCCCATCTGGATATGAAAGTCCAGGATGGCTCAAAAATCCTTATATTAGACAAATCTCTCTTTGCTCTGAGGTGAAAGTTGTCAGCTCTGGATAGTAGCCAAGACATGACTAGGAGGGAAGCCAGAGGCGAAGAGAGCCAGTGTCTAGGAGTTTTAAGAGTTTGCTGGCAGACTCAAATAGCATTGTATTAAGTTACAGAAAAGGCTCTTAAAATGTTCTGTTGCAGTGTAATTTCTTAATTAATTATTTAAGTTTAAATTATGTCAATGCTATTACAAATGAAAAGGCAAATCAGATTGTCCAGTTGTCTACTTTCAAGTCCAATTTCACAAAAACTTGAGAGTTTGTTTTGATTGTTCCTGTTTTGGTTTCATAGTATGCCTCCTGTTTGCTTTTATAGAATGGTGATCACTTTTTTACTAGGACACACCAAATTCACTAAATGGATTTTAAATAAAGGAGGATTAATTTAATGTTCCCTTTCAATTAAAAACTCATTAAGCCAAAACCATAAACTTTGATAAGAGATAAACTACTGTCATATAAAGCTCCCTCTATTTTTTAAATAGAAATAGTTCAGATACCTATTTATAATAGAACAGCCAAGTAACAATCAATATCCCATACCTTAAACTTTCTTGGACCTAATTATCTCAACAATATAAAAGATTTAGTACATAACAAAACAAATATACTTCCTGGGGGAAAAATTAACA